TCTATATACCACACTCGGTATTTACACCTTAAGCAGGTATATACCACACTCGGTATTAACACCTTAAGCAGGTATATACCACACTCGGTATAAATACCTTAAGCAGGTATATACCACACTCGGTATAAATACCTTAAGCAGGTATATACCACACTCGGTATAAATACCTTAAGCATGACGTAACTAAGATGTATTATAAACCAGATGTACGACGTAACTAAGAGATGTATTACAAACCAGATGTACGACGTAACTAAGAGATGTATTATAAACCAGATGTACGACGTAACTAAGAGATGTATTACAAACCAGATGTATGACGTAACTAAGAGATGTATTATATTTTGTGCTGTTTTTGATGTGAAATAAAAGTGACTGTTTTTTTTTATTAATAAAAGTATGATACGTACAGTGTAATACTTAAACTGTCTTTTATTCTTGGTGTATTTTTTCAGGAGGAAGCCTTAACGAAAGTGGAGTTAGAATATGAAATACAGAGCAAGATCACCAGCGCAGCTTTAAAACTTGCTAGTGACACAACTGTGAAGAGAAACGTGAGAAAACAGAGAAAAACCGCTCATCAACGGGCTCTTATCAAGGTTTGTGAGAAAGTTAATAGTAGGCTTAGTTTGGTTTGTGGATTTAAGTAGTTAAACAAAAATAGTGTTATATCTGTTTGTGGTTATGAGCAAAAACGTTTCATGTGTTATTGATATGAATGTAGCGTTTCGTCATTTCATCTGTTATTGATATAAATGTAGCGTTTCGTCGAAAACATTTCAATGTATCATTGCTGTGTACATAGCGTGTCATTGAAAACGTTTCTGCTGTTGTTGTTATTGCTATATATCGAGCATGTAGATGATATTTTATGTTAGCTGTTTAAATGTATTTATTCTATTTTATTCTATGTGTATTTTTAATGCGCTGATAGAATTAAATTATTTTAGTGTGGATAATTTAACGTCAGAGTACAGAAATACCTTGTTTTGATACTAAGTGTGGTATATACATGCTTAATGAGTTAATACCGAGTGTGGTATATACATGCTTAATGAGTTAATACCGAGTGTGGTATATACACGCTTAATGTGTTAATACCGAGTGTGGTATATACATGCTTAATGTGTTAATACCGAGTGTGGTATATACCTGCTTAAGGTATTTATACCGAGTGTGGTATATACCTGCTTAAGGTATTTATACCGAGTGTGGTATATACAACAGTGTGTACATTGTACCATTAAACATTGTACAGTGTATATACACCACAGTATGTACATTGTACAATTAAAGATTGTACAGTGTATATACACCACAGTGTGTACATTGTACCATTAAACATTGTACAGTGTATATACACCACAGTATGTACATTGTACCATTAAACATTGTACTGTGTATATACACCACAGTATATACATTGTACAATTAAAGATTGTACAGTGTATATACGTGACAAAGCAATAACGCAAGTTACTTATTTACATTAGTGATGAGATGAAGTTATAGGTTTCACATCAAAACATTTTCATACAGAGCGATAGAAATGGTCGGTATGCACTAAACTTTAATTGTTAAAATATTAAAACCATGATAATACGAGTTTGGGAAACTTCTCAGACAAAATTTGAAAATTTTCCCCTGCTACAGCCCTTCATAAAACTAGTAAAACTCATCAAACTCCTGTCACCTGACAGTATATTTCAACAGTCTAACCCTACAAAATTATGACGTCATGTATTAGTTAGTAATGAAAGCTAGAGGGCTTTTATTAATACAGTAAATAAAATATTTAGCTTGTAGTGATGTTTGGTGACAGTTTGAAAGTACCGTTTTACTCTTTCGAACTGAAAATTGAATCTCGTCCAGACAGGTTTAATTTGTCACTCACACCGAGTATAGACCCGAATTATACCTTACTTTTGCAATTTAAGTAGATGATCATTGATGCCACGTGTTTCGTGTTCTCTTATCATCCAAAGTCTGGTTTTACAGTATGAAAACAGTTAGTTAAGTATTAACATAAGGTTAAACTTTTCGTTGACGCTTACGTCAGTCAACATCACCAGGACAACAAGTAAGTCTGTGTAAATACAAGTTAATGTTCTGATGACGTAGAAAGAGTGGGTTGGGGGATCACCAGGATCTTGATTTTTCTACATTACTTTAGTTATATATATATATAAAACCTACTTTGTGTGACTCAGCTGGTTGATGTGAAGTGGGAGGATATCTTTTTACCCTTTCCACATTTCACGACTATGTATAAAAAGTGAGTATAACCGTCAGAAGAAAGACTGAACACTAGCAGTTTAGTTTGGATATCTTCACTTTTTATAAACTATTTTGTCACTTCTTCAGATGTTGGACGTAACTAAGAGATTTATTACAAACCAGATGTACGACGTAACTAAGAGATGTATTAAAAACCAGATGTACGACGTAACTAAGATGTATTATAAACCAGATGTACGACGCAACTAAGATGTATTATAAACCAGATGTACGATGTAACTAAGAGATGTATTACAAACCAGATGTACGACGTAACTAAGAGATGTATTATAAACCAGATGTACGATGTAACTAAGAGATGTATTACAAACCAGATGTAGGTGTATATACACTGTACAATCTTTAATTGTACAATGTACAT